GATGAAAAAAAAACATCAAGAGATTTAATGGAAATGGCAGGAAAAAAATCGTGCTAAAATTAAAACAGCAAATTCGAAATAGTATAGAAAAGTGAATGAGACAAGAGACGGTTGAAAAAGTCTCTGGCCAAAAACTCGAAACATTGATTTCCAACTGTGTAGTATGGATTGTGTGTTGGTTGGTTTTTGTATATGTGCTTCGTCGCTTTTTCCTTCCATTCCGTGTGTATTCCATCAAAAAGCGTAAATGAATGTAAACAACGAGTGTACAGAGAAAGGAGAAAAAAAAATTATTTACAAGTTTTCCATTTTCGTTCGGAGTTTTGAGCGTTGTTTGTTTCCTCGTCGTCGTTTTGTGCATTTCAAATGTGTTGTTGTGTTTTTTCTCCGAAAAAAAAAGTATTCTATCAGTTCTCCTTGATTCATTTGTATTCATTCCAAGTGATATACTTTTTAAATGCACGACTGAATTCTGTAATAGATACACAGAGAGCGCACCGAAACCGACAACATTGAAACTGCAGCGAAAATGTTGAGAGCACTCGCTGTCACAGCGAGAAATGGCATCGAAAAATAGAGAAAAAACACAAGCTTGGCGAGGACAAAACAGGGTAAGGGAGATGTGCACTCAGAGAGCGAGTAGAAGGCATAGCGTATTTGTGTTTGTGCAATCGAAAATGGAAGCGAATGAAAAACGTTCGCCCGTTCGTTCGCTCTCTCTCTCAAAATGCCATCCGTGTTTGTCGTTGACTAGTTGAACTCGGCCAAACAAATCGTTTGTCGGTAGCATAAGCGTAGTGTAGTGATTCGTGCGCGCATAAGTCAGATTTGTTCAAAAAGCATCGAACACGATTTGCTTCTATTCACTTTCCACTTGACTGCAATCGAAAATATACACAGGAGCAGCAGCAGCAACGATGGCGCATTGGAAAAAAGTCGAGAGAGAGAGAGAGGGCGAGAGAGAATAAAATCTTGCTGCAAAAACAAACACGAGTAATATTCTTTAAAGCTCAATCGCATCGAATCCCCAAGTGACATTGTCTGCAACGCAAATCTCTGATGTGAAGAAGGGGAAGAGAGCGAGAACGCTCATTGGCACCCGGAGACACTGAAATTCAATCGGGAAATGTAGACGATTTTAATTGGTAAGGTGTTTTTCCGTAATTAATTCCAATCATCGGAATTAAAACGCAACCCCAACTATTGGCTCAATGGCTCAACTCATCGATGTAAAAAGGGCAAAAGTTAAAGAATTTTATTAGTCAATATGTCTACATCAACCCAAAATGCCCTGCGTCTCTCTCCCCACCTCTCGATGAATTTATTAGTTTCCGAAAATGGAAAGTTTTCGAGCAGCTCGTTTCCATTTATAACATATGGCGTAGCAAAATTTTGACAGCATTTTTTTTTCTGCTGCTGTTTGTCGATAGAGCTGAAAACTTCCGTTCAAAGTTTTTCGCAACGGATAAGCTCATTCGCATCAGCAAATCAAGATTGGCAATAAGAAGTTTTTTCTTTCTGGCATAAATTACGTTGAACACGTTAAATGAACATGCGTTTCACTTTAAAATGAGAAGCAAACCGTATCACGTAACATAAATACTTAACGAATGTTGGCACTTTTTCCATCACACACACACTCACACATCACTCGAGGGGTCAATTCAATTCATTCTCGCATCTTGTTCTCGGAGCTCTTACGCTTGCATCACACACATTCCGACTGAATGCCACATGAATTATTTACTATTGGCCAGAATTCAAACACAACGCTTTTTCTCTCTCTCTCTCTCTCTCTCTCTCTCTCTCTCTGTGTGTGTGTGTGTGTGTGTGTGTGTGTGTGCTGACCCAATTTCATACGCCAACAAAGAAAAACAAACAATCGCAATACGGAGTAGCATCGAAAGCGAGAGAGAGGGAACAGAAGGCAAAGAAAAAAAATGATAATAAAACAAAAAGAAACGGAATGGAAAACAATCAGCCGAGTAAGCTTCTTTCGATGTTTTTCTTTCGTTTTTTTTTTATATTCACGATTTCGGCTTTTCTTTGGCCATTCATTCAAGCGAATCAAAGAAGAAAAGACAGTGTGAGTGTGTATTTTAGTCGAGGACCAACGCCGAATTTGTTTAACCTACCAAATGAGAAAAAATAATGGAACATTTCAACTGTAAACTGCTGAACTTTACAGTTTTCTCTCTCTTGTCTTCTTCGTATCACACACAAACGAGCATTCAAGCCCATGGGCTGCATTGTTTGAACGGCAACGGTTTTTTTTTTCATTCGGTAAACAAAAAAAAAGAAAGAAAAAGATTACGTTTGATATTTAGAAAAAAAAAAGTTTTCATTTTGTTGAACTGGTTTTCTGATGAGCGTCTGTTGTGTGAACGATAAATAGAAATCCAACGACAGTTGCTTTTTGCAGATGGTCGCCTCTGAGACAGTTTTAAAGTAAAAAGATTAGACAAAAATGTTGCTGTTGTCTTTTTTCTTTCTTTTCAAACCGAAACGGGGACGGGAGAGGGAGAGAGAAAAATTGCAAAATCAGACGATGGAAATGAGCAAATTGTGTTGGTGTCGGTTGCTGGAAGAAACAACAAGTTTCTCTCCAAATTACAATTTATCACAGTGAAATTGTTGACGTTTTTTGTTTGATGTTCGTGACTTTGGTGCTTTTTTCCACTCGGATCGATACTTCTATCCCGTTCTAGTGGCAAAGGCGCGTTTGTTTAGGAGTTTGTGTGTATTTTTTTGTTCATGTCACTCACTTTGTGCGAAAGACATGCACAAAAGACATTCAGTCAGTCAGCTCCATTGCAAAGTGTCTATGCGTCAATAGACGAATCGAGAGCAAAGCGAGTGAACGTCAAAAGGTTTGAGGTTTTTCATTTTAATTGTTTTGCATTGCTTGATTCACGTTTGTCCTCCCGTTCCGAACGTGGAACACCAAACGCACAAAGGGAGAAAAGAGAACCGAAACCGGAAGCATTAAATCAGTTGAAATTGTCTCACATCCAGTGCCGTGTCACCGCGTCACAATGCAAATAACAATGACTTTTGTACTCGGGCTGCGTTTTAAATGTATTTACGTAAATCGTTTACATTTTCACCGCTTGTGTCCGTTTTGTACGCGCGTTCATTTTTGATTTAAATAGGTATTATGGTTTGGGCTAAAGCTAAACGCTTTGGCTAAATCACCCAATTTAAAATCGGATCGAGCCGAAGATTTGGAAGCATCGACACCTTTGCACAAGCAAAATCCACCTCAAACCAAACTGCAGACGCAATAAATTTCAAACGCAGGCAAAGCACCGCAGCTGAATAGAGCCAGCGTTCGCTGGGCAAACAAAGGACACGAACGATATAATGATAGAGGGAGTGCAGAATGAGAGAGGGTGGCTGAATGGCTGGCTTACTCTCGCTGTCCAAATAATCGATATCAATGTGATGTGATGATATTTGCTGCTGTTACTGCAGCAACAAAATCGTCCCATTCTAACCCTCGCCTCAAACAAACTCACACAAATTTTACTAATTATGCAAAAATAAATATCCACCACCACCACCGTCGCCGCCATATAGTTTCAAGCCGGCAAACTGTCGAGATCCCCAAAATGACATTCATACGATTTCAACATTAATTTTAAAGCGAATTCTGCGTGACTTGAATGTACAGCACCAAATTTACGGCCGAATTTCGGGGAGAACATCATCAATGAGAGAAGAGGAAATGGAAGAAAAAGATTACAAAAACACATTTTTTAATGTTTCGATTTATTTTTAATCCCGGCCTTTTCTCCATCTCACTCTCACTCTCGAATTGTGAATACGCACAAGAAGACTGTGTTGTAATTGTTATGAGATTTGCTGGCAGACACAAAATCTACGGCCCACCAAACAACAACAACAACAAAAAAGGTAAGGTTTTAATGTTGCGATGGATGTCGATTGGCTTAAGTTCGTAATGAAAATCCGTTTGCTATACAAAAATGCTATCACTGTCGAATCGAAAGCTGGAGATTTTAAGCGACGATTATTTTTTTCTCGTATTCATTTTTCATTGTTATTTTTGTGTGTGTGTGTGTGTGTGTGTGTGTGTGTGTGTGTAACGAATCCGAGGCACATTTCCATATTGAACGGTGTTATAAAAAGCGAGGCAGTCACTTTAATTGCCATTTGTGTTTAATATCTGTTGAGCTTAATGGCTTGTGCAGTTGAGAGAGTGCTATAGAAATAGGAAAAATCCTGCAACACTCACACCTTTCTCCCCCATCTGCCGCTGCCGCATGACAACAGTCAATGTTCATTATGTGTGTGTGTGTCTCGCTCATTTGCAATAAAACATTTCATTTGTAAGTTTTATTATTGTGAATATGGATATGTGTGCTCAAATCGAGCAAATCGAAAACATGTCTTTGCAATTTGCGTCTAAATGCATGCTCCATCTCTCCCTGCCCCTCACTCATTGTGATTTAATAGCGTTCAACAATATTACCAACGATTATGAAAATGTTCTACCCGAAAAAGGGGTTTAGTCATATATTAATTGTGATTTATACGCGACGTATGTTTGCACAATTCGTCTGCCACATTGTTGCCACGAACGAAACATTGTCGCCGTGGAATGAGCATTTGGAGCTAAGCGTTTTGCTTGAGAATGCGAAACAAAAATAGAAGTTTATAATGATAACAACAACGTCAACGAAGACAACGTCGATGGTTACTATCTAAACGAACATTGAAAGGTGCGCGAGTGAGCTATTCATGTCGAGCATATTGAAAATAGCGTCATTATTAACAATAAAATTTATGCGGATGTTGAACACGTTCCTATCAAGCAAGCTGCAGTAATAACCAGGTTTACACGATTTTAGACGTATTTATAGACGTTACCTTACATGATATTTACACAAATACACCGTCGCACATTTTCACCCTTTCAGCTTGGTTCAGCTCAAATTAATAAAATACACTGCAGTTTATGGTAGACAACTACACTTTATTTATGATATCTACTTGCAATGACATCTAATCAGAACGGATACTAATTTAATTGACCACATTTAATTTACTAAACTACATTTTGCCCTGACAATTTTTCTAGATTTTTCAAATTGATTTCGGTGAACACGAATGTCATAAATTATTCAATTTTTTATTATTGGTTATGCATTCATTTTTTACCACCAGGTGTCCACACAGGGAAGGGCGATTTAGCGGATCTATCTTCGAGAAATCCAGGTCGACCACCAGCCAGCGCATCTCCCAAAGCATTTGTAATGTCCTTAATTTCAAGTTCCATATTCGCAAGTAGTCGATACATTTTATCAGCTTGAGGAGGTAGCTCATTCGGATGGATGCGCCGTTTTGGTATACAATCTGGTCTTGGCGGATTACAAAAGTCATCTAGAAGATTTGAATGTTTTTTTTTTAAGTTCAGAAAGTTTCAGAGGCGAAATTTTGCGAAAAATTGTCATTTTTTAAACTTTTTCTATTTAAAACTTGAATTGGTTTTTGACAAAATTCGGCTCTTTTACCAACTAACGTGAATTTTGTCATCAAACTATTTTACATCATAAATATTTTAAAAAATTCCTTACAATTTGATTGTTTGAATGAATACGACTTACTTGCAACATTTCGCTCAGGATTAATCGCATCATAGTTGCTGCTGCCTTGGATTGGTACACCAGAATTAACGGTAATGTACTGAGCAGGTGGTTGAACAACGACAATTGGCTGCCCTTGGGGTGCCAATGGACTTGCTGGAGTGGTTATTTGAACGTATGGTGAGTATGAAGGTGATCCATTATTCATTTCGCTTAACAAGAGACCGACCATGCCATTGCGAATTCGAGTTTTATCCAAGGTCGAGTTGAAAAGATTGATAGACATTCTATTGGTGTAATTCGTCAACTTGGTCGTTTCGGTGGAACAATCATCTCGAATAACGCTTCCTGTTTCGGAACAAAAAAAAGTCTTTCATCTACTGAAATTTCTAAATTTAACTTCAAACACCGTACCATTTATACTCAAACATGTTCCACATGATGTGATAAGAGAGGCATTATTAATATCTACACTGTATTTACTCATGTAAAAGCACATGTGTGACTCATGCAGTGGGCAGGTAATTGGTCCACATTTTAGATTATCTAAAAATCAAAGCAATTATTTCACAGAATGTTGTTTCTTTATTTTCTCGATTTTCACAGAAAACAAAAATCGATTCTTCAATCGATTTTTTCTCACCATCCACAATGTCAATGATTTGATGTTCATCTGCCCAAACTCTGATCGCGCCACATAGGCACAAAATTCCAATAAAAATGTGTAACATCTTGAAATTCGATTAACCAATTAATTGAAACGTGTACACGACACCAGTTCCAAATTTAAACTAAGATAAAAAAGCGATCGACGCTGCTGAAAATAACATTGATTCAAGTTCAAAACCAGCATTGCCTTGGATATGTCGACAGATATGTCGAGCACAAAGCAAATAATGACGAAAAATGAATAAATAAATTAAAACAGATGTTTTTTTCTAACTGTTTAATCACATTCTTTTGTTTCTTCCGCTATTTGTTTCAAGTGGGTACGCGTGCGCGACACACTTGCCGAATTCTTTTTATTACATGAATGATCGTAATTATTTGTGTTATTGATTTACGTGTGCATCATTCCATTTCGGTGGTACGTGCGTTACCAAGTTATGAAATTCGGTCGATGCAGACACCGTATTTGCATTTTTCATCAAATTTAAAAATAAATTGAATTGTCAATTGCGAGACTAACGGTTTTTGTCTGTCGCTGAATCACGAGAAATAAATATGGGCTTAGAAAATTATGGCGACACTTCAGCAGAAAAAAAAAGATCAATAAAATATTCGGTCAAAAGCACCGAATAAAAGTATGATTCATCGCGTATGAATATTGATGTAGTATTTTGTGCAGTTCAAATGGTCTGGTTAGAACGCAACTCGTTCGTCTGGGTAAGAGAGAGAGAGAGAGAGAGAGAGAGAGAGAGAGAACTTTTTGCACTGTTTTAATCGAAAAACCCACAAAATTCATAAATCATATTTGGTTATTGTCTTTTTTTTCTCGTCGAGAGAGGGTTCTTCGACATCAAACAAATGAATCGTTTGGTTCGTAAAATGATGCCGGCACAGTTTGAATGGCTTCCGTTTTTGGTGGCAAAAATCAAACATCTTTTTACGATAAATCCTTTCTAAATCGTTCCCATGTGACTCGAATACGTTATAAAGTGAAACAAAGCAAAAAACCCCCAAAACCCGCACAAACGCAAAGCCAACATAAATAGCAAGCAAACGAGTAGAGAGAGGGTGGAGGAGATGAAGAGAGAAAAACACTATGTGAAAAGTTTTAAAATAACATATATCATACATTTGCCTATCTAATTTACATTTCCTCTACTAAAAATAAATATGCATAAAAACCGCATCTCGTAATACCTATAACGATCACTAATACAGCGGCAGCCGCTTGTTGTTTTTTCCATACGAGAAGCTCACGCATTGTGTCGTTTAGCATATGTGATTCATTTTCGTTTTATGTTTTCTCTATCTCGCTCTTCGTCGCTCTCGCTTTCGTTCTTTCTCGCTCTGTCGATTTATTCTATTTCGCCTGAGCTCGATACATTCGAACTCCTTTTCGTCGGAATATCTATGTGTCTGTGTGTAAAATAAAACATTTCACTTTATTCCTCTCTACTGTCTATTACTCACACCACAAACAACAATCAGAGCGGAGAAAAACTTTTCTTCGCAATAACAATTTGATGTGCTTTTTTCATGCAATATATCGTTCATCGTTGTCGCTTGCCTTGCCAGTCTTCGCTTTTGGTTGCTGGATGCGTGCTTGTGAGCACAAGTATTTGCGTAAATCCATACAAAATGTTGCGTTCGTTTCTGTTGTTATTCCGTTGTCTTGGCTCAAGTTTTTCCAGCTTTTGCCTGAATCTCTTCGTTGCCGAAGATACATCTGTATCTCTTTTTGAAATTGTTGCGTTCGGTTTAGTGAAATTCCATCAAATCAAATGATGGTTTCTGTAAATTTTTGACAAGGGATTTGCTACATACGATTTACAAAGCCACCACAATATTCAAAGTGGCATCAACTTTCGTTGTTGAGTGTTTCATCGTCGTTTTATGACAGTCGGCGTTGCGTTTCGCGGCATGTGAAAGATAATGTGCGACGGCAGAGTTTTTCGGGAGTTTTTGCTGGAAGCCCTTTTCGGTGTTGTTTACGGTGTGTGAGCTTGGAATTCAAAGCCATTGCAAGCGAAAGAAAGTGAGTGAAAGAGAAAGCAAAGAGAGGGAGAGAAAAAAGGCGAAAAAGAGAAAGAAGGAGTTAATCTCGATAGATAACTCGTAGACTTGTATACGGGTGCGAATGAGAACAACGTTTATCTATAAATATTAGCATTTATGTTTTTGGATCATCGTTCGTTTTTTCTCGTCTTATTCTTCTTTTCGCCACTTTATTTTTTGAGGGTTTTCCACCGAAACAGATAACGAATATATAAATATAAATATGACTTCGAAAATGTATGAATAAATCCATGGAATCAACGCTCGGCTGCAAGGCAAACACATTCACATACCGCACATTTTTGTATACAACTCCAAATGGAATTTACTTAATAGCATTTTCTATATCAGAAAATTTTGCGCCGAATTTTCGACATTTTTCGCTTAGGTTTTGACATGCTCGCTTCGCGCCAGTTCAATGTAACAAACATTCGTTGTTTTTTTTCTCATTCTCGAACTGTTGCTCGGTTTAATCTCCAAGGTAATCATGTCACATTTTGTCTGCAAATGAAATAAACTTGACGGTTTTATTGATATTTTCACCGCATTGTTTCGATTTTTAAGCCTTTTTTCACTCTCTCTCTCTCTCTCTCGCTTGCTCGCTCGCTCGGCTGTCAAATCGAAATTAATTCTCGGTTTGTCTAATGTGACTGTTGCCACATATCGCGAATAAATTTAATCGTTTCTCAAGTTGAACACATTTTCCAAAAGTTTATTTTTCCCAATAAACTTCTGTCTGTATCTCTGCAAATCAAAAACTTCGCTCCCATTGTCTCCTTCGAAAAGTGTTTATCTCGTTCCCAAATGCGACAAAGACTCGACGAAGATTTATTCGTATTAATTTAGTGGAATAATGAAAACACTCGATTATGGCTTGTGGAAAATGAATTGAGCAACGAATTTTCTCGTTTAACCATATCTTGAGCATACACCTCGTATAAGAACCAAATTTTCTTGTGGCGCCATCTAGATGGCTTGCGGGGCGCAATGTATTTTAAATTGTTAGCTAAGTTTTTTCAGCTTAGTACAGAACCATTTTTGGCAAAGATACAAAAGCATGCTCGAGGTATGCGTTTAACTTGCCAAACATTGGTGAAAACAAATGAATGCCAATGTCTACAGCACCACAAAACATCAAGTGAGCGAGCGGGTGAGAGCGTGCGCGAGCGCACGTCATGCAACATCATAAATAATCTCTTCCGGCCGCATTTTCATTCCCCATGCTATTATCACTCTATCACTTACACTGCACACAAGTGAAAGGCCACACGCGTGATTATACACTCGCCCCATGATGTGAAAATCGAAAGCAAGAGAAGAAAAAAAATGTAATGAAACTTACCGAAGAAAAATGAGGTTGAATCTAAGGAAAGGATCTCAGTCACGTGGATCACAATCACCCGAGAACAAAAAAGAACTCAAATGGAGGAAGCAACAGAGTACGCTTGAGCTCTTGGATATTTTTATATAAATGTTCATCAAAATAGTTACATTATCTAACAATTCATGACGTGCCTTGGTATTTATGATGCCATGAGATAAACAAGCGTATGAAATTTAATAAATCGCCCTTCACTTGATATCATAATCAACCAAATCATTTATAAACGATTCATTCAGTTTGATACGTGCAATTATATTCGGGACGATTTTCGGTATATTGCTGCTGCTTTGAAGTATTGTTTCTTTTTTTAGATCGGATGGAACGAAATATGCAACATGGTTTAATGCAACACAATGTTGAATATTTTTAGCTCATCTGAAGTCATTGTTTCAAATCTAGTCATGTGTTAGATTTCACTATCCAATTTTGATGATTCAATATATGGGATTTCCCAAAACTAAGAAAAAAAATTCAAAAAACGACTATTTATGGCCAAAACCTAATTTATTTACCACCATAGTTCCATTCACATGACTAAACGTCGTCATATGACTTTGTTCCATGTTAATTATCAGTAAAAATTCGAATAATGCCGAATTTGTTTGGTATTTCGTTGCAATTTTCACAAATTCTTTCTTAGTTTCACAACATCCAAAGTAGTCGATAAAATTTTAGTATAAATATCAGCTGTATCTTGATCAAAAATCCATTCTAGTTTCCACTGCAGATAACTACTTGTGTCTCTTCAATAAACTGGAAATAAGTGCAATTCGAAATGATTCGTTCAGTCATTTTTGTAGTTTTAATCTCAATCGTATTCACGCAGTGTTTACCACCAAACGATAAAAGCACACCGCTTAAATTGAACAAATCAATAAAAGCCAATTCGTTAAACGGAAAGTCGTTGGGAAATTTTACTAAATTGTTTGATGCTAAGAAATCAAATCTTAAACAAATCCATCCTTATCATGTAGAAAAAGAATACAAATTTGGAGAGCGTGGGGAGGGTAAGTGTAGAGTTGATATGTAGCAATCAATGCATGGAGAGAATAACACTGTGCGGTTTTTGGTTTCAAACGTGATACAAGTTGCTAATTCTTTATATTTTTTAATTTTAAAAAGCAAGACACAAAACGGCCCCGCTCTAATACATTTGTAAACTTGACACATCGCACGCTTCGCTACATCGTGCGACGTTCATACATGTTTCTGTGTCTTAGTGTGCGGTGGTAGTATCAAGTTGACATTGTCAAAATAATGTCTGTGTTGATGCAACCAACTTCAAAGCGGGGCCTACTGACGCACTGTTTTGTGTGAGGCTCTTTGTTTTTTTTTCTGCAGATGATGGTCTGTTAGGCCTTTCCTTCGAAGTCAACTATTTTGATGGTTTACGAGATCTTGAGTTCATTGTTGGCTATCCCAACACTGGACCCGGCAAATTTATTGTGACTTATGTGGAAGTTTATGTTTTCCAGGTATAATAAAAAGTATCTTCAAAAAAATGTGTTCATGTATTCATATTGAATGATGTTGGTTTTAGGAGTCGAACGATGGATCTGCAGAAATTTCTAAAGGTGGAATAGGCGAGCAAGGAGTTGAGATTAAAATTTCAGCCAATCAAATTGATGATTTCCTATACTACGAAGCGGCGTTTTATGGCCACCAATATTGAATCTTTAAACCGGACATACCGTATATATTTTAACTATAGTTATAACTATAGTCATACTATATTGAATACTATTTTATCTTCTTCACATTTAATGGAAAATTGAATGAACAATATAATAATTCACTTATTATTTTCAATTGTTAAACGAAACTAGAACGAAATCATTACTTGAGTATGCATTTATTATGGAAATTTATTTAAATAATCACTCTTTGGTGAGCACAAGCTATATTTTCTTGGGAATAGAGATGTTTTTTCATCATAAAGCCAATGAATAAAAAATCCGATTGAAAACAATTTCTTTTGAAGATTTTTTTCATTTTTAAATCGAAAAATGAAATGAAGAAAAGAATTGTACTTTGTTGTAGGCAATCACCCCGTATTTGTATGGAATTGGAGAGATAATCGCGCGAATGCCGTTAGTCAGCGCCATCTCATATCTCGTCGGCCAACTCAATTTAGATTTTTTGCATTCATTTTATTATATTTAATAATAAAAATGATAAAAATAAATAAATGATGTGAAGGGCCAATAATGATTCGAGAATATGTACCTTAAAAACATAATCCTCATAAAAAAATATAAAAAAATTTGTTCATAAAGAGAAACACTCAAATCATTCTCTCCACGTCTTCATTTCATTCTCTCCACATGTTGTTTGTAATACGAATAGCCGTAATTGTAGAACGGAATGAGAGATGGCGCATAAAACGGCCATCATTTTAGCTATACAAGGGAATCTTACATGATTGGTTGTAGGTATAAAAATGGAATAACAATTTATATTCTTCCTTCCGTCAATCGTATTAATTGCCCAAAATTACGTTACTTATTGAATTTGCATTTCTTGAAAGCAACTTGACTTGGAATGTGATTTGTTGGGTATGATACATACAAGGAATTCAGAAGAAGAAGAAGAATAGTTAATAAAAATAAAAAGGATCTAAAGAGATAGTGCACCGACAGTCAAAGCAGTAATTTAAATTGAATGTGTACACCGGTACTAGATTATTCTCAGAAAGATAATATTTGCAGTCAGAATTATGACAATATTTCGGACAGATACTCAATCATTTTGCGGAAATTTCAATTTTTCCTCTCATCGTGGTTTATTCAATGAATTGAATACACGGGATTGAAGAAAATAGTTTCACAAGTAAATTAAAACTGCGCCGGAAATTTCTATATGATTCAAAATGATGGAAAAACCCAATTTTTCTATGGACAAAATTTCCATTCGCCTGACTTAAATTGGTGGCACATGACTAAATTGAGCAAATTAGAAAAATGTTTGGAATTTCATTGCATTTTTTGTATATTCTTTCTAAGCAGAGATTGCATATTTGCTGCTGAGTAGGCCTGAACTGAGCTGAATTTGCTAACTCAGGCGCCTGAAGCGGTATTTTAGCGCACTTACGGTGCAAAATTGTTGTGGATCGCTGGTATCCACCCAAATATAATTGATAAACAGCGTGCAATCCCGTTAAGGAGACAAACGAAGGATATGCAGAAATCACAAAGGGTGGAATAAGCGAAAGGGAATTTGAAATTAAAATCATCGCCAAACAGACTGATTGTTATTACTACGCCGTGGTATTCTATGGCTACCAAAAGGAATAATAATTTGGTGCTAATGAAGGAATGACATATATTGGAATCTTCAACCAGACATATCACGTTTCATTCTAAATGGTTATATAATTTTGGATACCATTTTTCTATTTTTCATATTCAATAAAAATTTAATTAAACAATAGTTTGCAAATGGATAAAAGAACTATTTTCTTTTATTGGTGGAATTCACTTACTACTTACATTTGTTAATTGAATTCATTACATTGCATTGAATCGATAACACACTGACTGCAATTATCCAACGTTTTCATTTATTCAAAAAATATTTCAATCAATCTATTTCTGAATCATAATAAAGTGCTCGGTTGAATTGTTCAAAATTTATTTACTTCTTTCGCTAACTATGGCATCTATTTTCGTAAAAAAATGTAGTTGAATTTTGACCAGTCCTTCTTTTGTTATCTCCTATATTCTTTGCTCGAAATTCAATCAGATATGGGCAAAAAATGCCGCTAGGTGTAATTTTCGAAATTACTAGTCGTTTTGGCTGAATGGTCTGTGCCTTGTGTGCGAATTTCCAATGTGGTTTCATTGGAAAGAAATACCATCCACAACTTCCACCAATACAAATATCGCACAACAAAAGACAGAAGTATTCTGAGAGAACTTCTTTCGAAACTCATTACCACTACTCTGAAAAATGCTTTGCATGCGTTTTCAAAACCATTGTCATTGGCATTTAAATTCATCCCATAAATTGGTTTCAAATAACATTTTCGCCACAAACAGAGATGTCTTTTGTTGTATGAGTTTATTGACATCGGGTGCTCACGTTGAAGTTTCCTTTGTCGCCGTACAGTGATTGACATTTATGCAGTCATATTTAATGTTTGAATCTGCTATAAAGTCACAAACAAGTGTTCTGTCGTTAGTATTAGTGCACGCACACGCACATCGCGCTCGACCTTTCTTATAGGCTTCGCTGAGATGAATCGCCGGTAAGCCATATTGGAAATTTGCACACAACACTTTCACAGTCGTTTTGTATGACAGCTTCAATTTCTAAAGTGTCAAGTATCAAATCGCACATTCTCATTGTGTTAAGGAAGTTAAAGTGAACGGATTTATTTTTTTAGTTTGATTGTTCGAAAAAGAAGAAGAAAAAAAGTCAAAAAAATGAATCACAATAAATATATTGTGGATGACAACGGCTTCACTAACGTTTATGTGAGCGGTGTCCGTATAAAAGCCGGAACACCACAAGAAACGTCTGGTTACAGTGTTTACTGGGGCCCCGGAAATCCATTGTAATTATGTGATTTTTTTTTGTAATCATATTTTCCAAAATCGTGTGCATAATCAGATTTTCGTTTGGCAATTTTATTCGTGAAAAATTACGATCTACGCGTTATAAAGCTGTATAGTCATTAAACGAAGTAACATCTGTTTTTTCTCATTTTCATTTCGATAGCAACGTCAGCATGGGCACTCGCAAAAATCTTTCCGAAAATGCCGGCGAAGTTGAAGGTGCAAAAATGGCTTTCAAACAGGCAGCCCGATTCAATGGCTTGAACAAATTGCGCATGAACACCAGCTCCAAGTCTTTATATGATGCGGTGACTGATTCGATGGCCAAGTGGAAGGAAAGCAATTGGCGCAATGAGGCGGATGGACGAAAGATTCGAAACTGCAGCGCCTACAAGAAATTGAGCAACGCCATAGACAACGTTGTTGTTGAAAAACGAATGGATATCGAATATAAATACATTTCAGCACGCTGGGGTAACATTCACCAAAACGAAGCCGATCGAATGGCCACAAACGCTGCCGAACGACGTTGAACATTTCGTGTACCGTGCACACAAACAACATTGTATTGCAGAAGATATAGTTTTTTCATTGTTAAATCACTCTCACAGATTTGAATCGAATGCAATGTTTACGTTGTAATAAAAAAAAATTCAATTGCGGAAATCTTGTGCATTTTATTGAATTGCTTATGAGCAGAAACATGACCGACAAAACCTGGTAAACAAAACGGTTTTATTTTTGCATACGCAAACGTTTTAGGTGTTTGTTTGGTTTGAATAACTCATTATAATTTCGACCGTGTGAATAGCATATTTCAGAGGCCAATCGCAAGAAGACATTCGCATTCATTTCAATTGACTGCCTTCATGGTCCACACACTATATTACTTGAATACTGAATTAATACAAACTGAGCAAAGTGAACTAAATGTTGACATTTTGGCGTTGAAAAATCCAATGAATTGAAAATACAAAAGCCTAAAATGGAATCAGTGCTGTCCCTGACTGGAGAAGATTTTTAGATTTGAAAAAACGTCTTTCTTTACAAGAAATTTCAGCTAGTGCTCACAAAAGAGTGATTTATGTAAATAAATAAACAAATTTCGGCAATCTAAGTTTTGTTTTCAACGTGACGAAGGATGTTATTACAAGGCTACCAATTATTATAGCGGGAAACAAATTTTGAGCGAGGAATGAAGAAGATGTGAAAATGGCAATTTAGTGTTTGCTTTGTATGCATTTACTAATATTCTGAAATCACATTCTTTATCAAATAAAGTAAATAAACGGACTTATGCATTCACTTTCCGAATTTTTATAAAATAATTCATCAGTGGCCAACGATTTTCTCAAATTAACAATGAAATTCAATGCTTTCGTTTCGATGCGATAAGTTAATTGAAAAGTGTAAACAAAAAACAATTCGTACCTTTCATGAAATGGCTTTATAAAGAAATTGAGAATAAATTCTCTGTGGATTTGGCTTTTCAGTACATTTCGAAATGGACAAAATCATTGCTGTGTTGAAACAAATGGCTTCAAAGAGATTTTTGTTTATTCATTTAGTAGCATGAGCCTGTTTGATAAATTTCTTCTAGAAAGAAAACCAGTAATCTTGATTTTTTGTTTGCACACAACGGTGTGCTGAAAACGAAAGGATTTGATGAAATAAATAACTTTCAGTCAGACACACTAACTACATTTTACACACACATTTTCATTCATTCAAAAAATCTTTTAATCAAATGTTTACGTGGAAATGAAAACCAAACATTTTTCAATCACGAAAATATTGTGCGTTTTATTGAATCGCTTATAAGCATGATTAACACGATTGGCAAATAATGGTATATTTTTGCATGCACAGAAGTCCTCGATGTTGGTTTGATTTGGAACAAATCATCATACTTTCGACTGTTGTTTTTTATTCGTTCTTCTTTCAACATGGACAACCGTTATAGAGGAAAGTTTGCAAAAAAAGAGCAAATTCACAATTGATTATTCCAATGAAAGTTACTCTTTATTGACTGATATAGAAAATTGAAAGGAAATATTTCTTTTCGAAAAAACCCTTTTAAACTTGCACATTTCAAAGTTAAAGAACCGTGTTTCGATGAATTCGAATACTCACCAAAGGTCGGCGGCATTGGTGACACTTTTTTGGCTTCCGATCGTCGGGCAAAACGTAAGACATGTTACATGGAGCACAGAAGTACGTTTTGATGACAAATGATTGAACCATTGGATAATATTTCTTTTTACGGTTTTGACGGTTTGGGCGGTCCATTTTTAAACAAATGTTTTCCTTGGAGTTGAAGCTGAATCGAGTTTTGATGTTCACTTTTTGGCGTTTAAAAATCGAATGAATACAAAAGACTGAACTGAAATGGTGGACAATGCCGATTAAGTATAAAGAAGATATTTATGATGAAATGACGTCTCCCTTTGCAAGCAATTTCAGTTTGTGCACTCGCAAAAGTGTGATTTGTTTAAATAATTTCTGACAATCAAAGCATACTGAATGCGACGAAAACAAAATGACGAAGGATGTTATTATACAATGCTATCGATTATTATGGCGGGAATTAAATGAATTATCATATTTCGAGCGATGAAAGAGATAACGCAAACAGAACGGGTGGGAGCAATTTAGCATTTTCTGCAACAACTTTCTTCACTAAACAATGTAAATAAACAGACTTACTGCATTCAATTTCTGGAATATAATGATAACTCACCAATATCCAGGGATTTTCTCGAACTAATAATGAAATTTGATATTTTTTCTTCAGTGCGATAAGTTTATCAAGAAATGTAAATAGAAAACAATTCGTATCTTTCATGAAATTCGGTTTCTTTATTCTTTGTGGATTTAAATTTCAATCACATTTCGTAATTGTCAAAATCATTGCTGTATTGAGTCAAATGGCTTTAAAGAGATTTTCGTTTATCCTTCCAGTAGCATGAGGGAGTTTGATTATTTGTTTAGAATCAAAACCAGTTCTTCAGTTGCCTTTATCGCATCATTCTTCGTCGAATTATTTCTTACTGCATGCAACGGTATACTGGAACGAAAACAAACCACCACGATTTGGATTTTTTTTAGTCATTATTTATATGTATATAAGTCTTAATGTTTGAAAAAAGGAAAACATTGACAAATCGGAAATTTTGTACTTACCTCTGAAGAAAGTTTCATCGGTTTGCAACATCTATAACAAGGAAACGTCATTCCATTACACGAAACGGCGACCACGAGAACATCAGTGCAAACAGTACAGCGATAAACTGCCGACTTGTTTGATTCCATTTTGAATAATATTTTTTCAAAGAGTTTCGAAGGATTTCAAGTGCTTGTCTTCCAACCGTCTTCTAACAGTGAATGAAGTACTTTTCCCCACTTATATCACCGTTATGGTCATCATTTCGATTTAGAAAAAAACATTCGAAATGAAACTTCTAGAAGATCCATTGTTTAATTAATTCCATAATGTTGCTGAATATGAATTTCAAATCTTAATGACACAATTCGATTAATCAAAATGGAATCACAAACGAAATGGCAAAGTCAGCCTTAATTAACATTGATGTAATTGATTACAGTTCGTTGAAACTGTGTGATGCGAAAGTTTGAAATGGAATTCAGTTGAAGTTGATAAAAAAAATGCTTACCCGTTTAATGAAAACAAAAACAATCCAATGTTTGTCAATTGGGAAAAAGAAATACAGAGTGCATACGAAACATGCTTGAGTGCATTTAAATGTTTATACCGGGCATTTTATTATTGTCACCCAAAGTCTGTTTAAACTGTAAAAAAAAAAGAATCGATAACTGATTTTAAATTGATGATTCGCTCAATTCGAGCGTTATATCTCAAAATGTGAGCCAATAAACACAAAAAGATAATAAATCGTCGAGCCCAAAATGAAACTCTTGATGTCTATCAAGTGACACGTAAAATTTGATGAAACATAATATTCCGCAGCATTAAAATAACGATGCTCATCTGCGTTGTCTGCGAAGATTGTGTTCATTTCATGTCTCGATACAGCTGAACATTAGTGCAATAGTCATTTATCTATTCGTTGTTCCCGCTTTTGCACTTTGCTCCAATTTTTTTGTTTTTGTTTTCAACATGCTCATAAAAATGCCAAAACAACAATGGCCACGAACGGCAATTTTGAATTGAGGCACAATGAACCCTGGGCCCCACAACAAAAAGATGAGCATAATTTCGTGCATGGGAAGCTGCATTGACTGAATTGGTATCGCCATCTCGCAGCAATTGTCGGTGGCTCTTTAGTGAATAATTTTTATTGTTTTGTTCCGTCGTCGCGAGTGCGTCGAACAATATGCTTTGATAGCATAATGAAATTTCGTGAGGTGAACATTTATTTTAACTGCCGTCATAAACTAGGCGCTCTCTCTCTCTCTTTCTGGCTTGTTAACGACTGTATGTATGTGCGGGCACGCGATGTCTCTACTATTTGTAACGGGACGAAGAGCAAGAATTAACATTCAAACAGCCGCAGTGAAAATAAAAAAAGAGAGAAAAACCAGGTATAATAATAGAATATTTTGTGAACGCCACTTACGAAGACGGCAAAACACTCCAGTCGGCTGCTGCTGCTCGAGAGATCTGCTTTATTTCAAGCTTCATTAAAATTCACCCTCAAAATGATAATATAAAATTAGAACGAGAGAAAAAGCGCGAGTGGGAGGAAGATAGAGAGCGAGAGCGTGGCATGGATACCAACGCACGCAACAGACACACATTAAAAAAGTGCTGTGTGTTCGTTACTTGTGCAGCGCAAATTTTGAGCAAATGTTACAAGAAAAGAACATAAGCTTCAACATTTAAGCGGCAACTAACGAACAAAAGTGCACACGAACGCGAAAAAAAAAGAAACAGAACCAACACACATCCCCTTTAAATTGTAGCAATTTTTCTGTTGTTTCAGTGAAAACAACAAACGAGCGCAAAGACACAACTTTGAAACGCTTAACATAGATTTATAAGCATACCAGAAACTGTCGTGCCAACGATGACGACGAATGTATTGAGCAGAAGTTCTTGTTGCTTTGTTTCGTCTATTTTTTTTTGGTGTGCGAGCGATTTCTGCAGCACACCACAGCTCTCACTGCAAAAGTGCAGATTCTAAATCTTTCCGCGAAATATGTACACACACAGGGTGGTTGAGCAAGTGAATCGCGTTTAAGCGTTATTATGTTTCGAGATTCCAGCATGTCATCGCATTTGATGTGCACCAAGACACAGCATTACTTACGGCAAGGATTTTAGCTAAGCATTTGTATATTATCGTCATTGTTTCTTTTCACGGAGTTTTTCGTGAACAGTTAGCGGTTGCCTGGCAAACAAGAAGGATTTTTGCTGAACAGAAAGCGAGAAAGAGAAACGCCAGCGTCATTCCAAACTTGGCCCGCATTAAATTAAGGTTTACAATATCTAGCGGAAAAATTACCTCAAATATGGTTATGTTCAGCAAAAATTGAAAAAAGAAAAAAAAACATAGGGGATTCACACTGATCAGACACTCTTTTTTTCATTCAATCGCACTCCCTCTTTCTCTATCGCTTTCTCTATCTCTCGCTCCGCCGACACATGGATTTAGCAACGAACCAAACAGCAATTTCGAA